TGTGTAGCTTTGTTCTCTGTTAGCTTTGTTACCTGTTAACTTTATTAACTTTTAGCTTTGTTAGCTGTTAGCTTTATTAACTTTTAGCTTTGTTAGCTGTTAGCTTTATTAACTTTTAGCTTTGTTAGCTGTTAGCAGCAGCAAAAGTAAACAGGAAGTGCAGATAAACAAGTTCCTGACTTGTTAAATTACATTTTATTAAAGCATCAAGCTAATTTTTTTCATCTGTTGAACATCAGGACGTTAAATATTTATCGATAACTGTCCGACCTGTCTGAGCTGCTGAATCTATACGAAATAAATTAAATGATGAATTAATTTTTTTGTGGAGACAGACTGGGGTCAAAGYTCAGCTCTGGAAAATGTCAGCTCCCAGTCGACCCAACCTCCACAGAAATAAACCGTGTAGGAAAATGTCAATTTTATTTATTGTAATAAAATAAAGAGTAATTAAATATCATCAGAGTCCAGGTCTGATGTGTAATTAATATATGTGTCCAGAAACATTAAAGGACAAAATGTTTATTAAATTACATTTATGAACTTTTTTAACAACAACAAATAGTTTGGATGTTAAAAATATTTTACCTCTTTAAAGTTTAGCACGTTTTAGTCATTTCACTGGTTTAAATGAGGTTTTGTGATACRGACGCTGTCAGCGAGGGAAACAATAAACCCAAACACTGTAACCAGATGATGCATGTTTGTATCATACAAACCACTGACCTCTGCAATCAGGACAACAATGACACAATCATCTTTCTCAGCAGGACTGAGCTCTGACATCAGAGAGCTGAGCGTGTCCGTCAGGTAGGAGTGGACCTCCCTCTTCACACTAGGAACTCCCATCACGATCGACACTGAACACAAACACAACAAACATCAGAGAGACACGAGTAAATACACACAGCCTCTGATGGACTGGGYAGTATAACCAGTAAATACACAGAGCCCAMAGARGACTTGGTGGTGTAACCAGTAGATACACAGAGCCAAAAAATGACTTGGAAGTATGACCAGTAAATACACAGAGCCCAAAAATGACTTGGAAGTATGACCAGTAAATACACAGAGCCCAAAAAGGACTTGGCGGTGTAACCAGTAAATACACAGAGCCCAAAAAGGACTTGGTAGTATAACCAGTAAATACACAGAGCCCAAAAAGGACTTGGTAGTATAACCAGTAAATCCACAGAGCCTATGAAGGAAATTGGCAGTGTAACCAGTAAATACACAGAGCCTATGAAGGAATTGGCCGTGCAACCAGTAAATACACAGAGCCCACAGAGGACCTGGGGGTGTAACCAGTAAATACACAGAGCCCACAGAGGACCTGGTGGTGTAACCAGTAAATACACAGAGCCCACAGAGGACCTGGGGGTGTAACCAGTAAATACACAGAGCCCACAGAGGACCTGGTGGTGTAACCAGCAAATACACAGAGCCTATAAAGGAATTGGCAGTGTAACCAGTAAATACACAGAGCCCACAGAGGACCTGGTGGTGTAACCAGTAAATACACAGAGCCCACAGAGGACCTGGGGGTGTAACCAGTAAATACACAGAGCCCACAGAGGACCTGGGGGTCTAACCAGTAAATACACAGAGCCCACAGAGGACCTGGGGGTGTAACCAGTAAATACACAGAGCCCACAGAGGACCTGGTGGTGTAACCAGTAAATACACAGAGCCCACAGAGGACCTGGGGGTGTAACCCTGCTCAGAGTGGACGGTTGTGTTTCGGTCTCCGGGGAGTTCTGGGTGAATCAGAGCTCACAGTGAAGCTTCCAGAATAAATAAAGTCAAGCTGAAACGGTGAGTGGTTTGCCCACAGAAGGAGTTCTGTTCCTGGGCTGCTGGTCCAGCCTGGACCCCCGGGCTCGGCTGGAGGTGAGGCTTCTGCAGGTGAGATTAATGACGTCTCGCCTTACTTCATCCTGCTGTGGGTCCCCAGGGGCCGGCTCCACTCAGCCTTTCATGCTACACCAGCCGAACATCAGCTGTGGGCTGAGTCTAATGCATGAGGCAGTGTCAAGAAAATAAGGACAGACCCTTAAATCTGCAGGCCCTCAGGGTGGACCGGACCTGTTTCCACAGTACTTTTAGACACAACACTGGGTTTATTCTTGGCTGAGCGACCCGACTGAAACCCTCTGAACTGCTGACAGAAGCAGAACCGTTARACTCAAAATGTTTTCAGTCAGAATTCAGGATGAGGATCAGACAGGTGAAGCTACAGGTGTGTCAGCATAACCTGCTGTCCATCAAACTGAAGAATTATTCACAAGCTGCCAATCTTCACCCTGAAGGTCAGACTGTGCAATGAGCTCCATCTCTACAGGCCTCGAGTTAGGTTTGTTTCGTCTGAAGGAGCCACTAGTTTTCTGGACCAGAACCCACACTAGAGGTTCTGTTGGGTCAGGTGGTCCAGTCACGCTTGGTTCCAGCAGTTTGTTGTGAAAAGGGACTCAGCAGAGTCTGAACAGTTACCTCCGGTCCTGCCCTGACCCAGGTGCACGGCGGGCTGCAGGCTGTCCTCTCTGTTGAGCAGGTGAGGAAGATGATGGAAGATGGAGGGAAGCTGCAGGACGTTCTTACTGCTGCTGACGTTCCACAGCTTCAGCCTGGTCTCCTCTGAGGACATAAAGAGACCTCGTCAGACCAGCTAGTCCAGGTGAGACAACCAAGAGCTGGACTAAGTTCAATTAAATATCTTATTTTATATTCAGCAGTTGGATTTTAAACTTTATCATCAAAATCATTAAAAGCGTCAGTTTTACATTTTACAAAACGTCCCAAAGTTTTATTGTCCATTAGAAGTGAGATGAGTCCACCATCATGGTACTGACCAGAGAGGCTGCTCCAGGTCCGGTTGATGTCTCTGAGCGCCTGCTTCTCAGCGATGGCCCTCTTTATCTCCTCCAGAACCAAGTTCAGCTCTTTGGAGCGCCTCAGGTTCTCCTGCTCGGCCGAGTGGAGGCGCTCCCTCAGTGCCAGGAACTCCCTCTGGTAGATGTCGACCACATCTCCTGCAGAGGAAACAGAATCAGGTTGTTACAGGTCCACCAGAAAAACACTTCTTTATCTTAACCAAGGACTCGAAATCTCTTTGTACTACAGTCATTCATTCATTCATGATCATGATCCATCATGGACCGACCCATCATGAACCAACATATTGTGGACTGACCCATCATGGACCAACCTATCATAAAGCGACCCATCATGGACCGACCCATCATGGACCAACCTATCATGGACCAACCTATCATGGACCAACCCATCATGGACCAACCCATCATGGACCGACCCATCACGGACCAACATATAGTGGACTGACCCATCATGGACCAACCTATCATAAAGCAACCCATCATGGACCAACCTATCATGGACCAAACCATCATGGACCAACCCATCATGGACTGATCCATCATGGACCGACCCATCATGAACCAACATATTGTAGACTGACCCATCATGGACCAACCCATCATTGACCAACCTATCATGGACCAACCTATCATTGACTGACCCATCATGGACCAACATATTGTGGACCGACCTTTGATGGACTGACCCATCATGGACCTACCTATCACGAACCTCACCCGATCCATTTTAAAGCGACCCATCATGGACCAACATATTGTGGACTGACCCATCATGGACCAACCTAYCATAAAGCAACCCATCATGGACCAACCTATCATGGACCAACCCATCATGGACTGATCCATCATGGACCGACCCATCATGGACCAAACCATCATGAACCAACATACTGTATTGTGGACTGACCCATCATAGACCAGCCTATCATGGACCAACCTATCATTGACCGACCCATCATGGACCAACATATTGTGGACCGACCTTTGATGGACTGACCCATCATGGACCTACCTATCACGAACCTCACCTGATCCATTATAAAGCGACCCATCATGGACCAACATATTGTGGACTGACCCATCATGGACCTATCTATCATGGATCTACCTATCACGAACCTCAACCGACCCCTCTTGGACCAACATTTCATAAACCAAACCATTATAAGGCGACCCATCATGGACCAACCTTTCATGGATCAACCTATCATGGACTGATCCATCATGAACCAACATATTATGGACCGACGTTTGATGGACCATCATTTCATGGACCGACCCATCATAAAGCGACCCACAGAGACTGTGTAATCCTTCTCTCCAGCTTCATTGATGGAGAACAACAGACTCATGTTTGTCTGATAAGTGAAGTTCTCAGCATCACTGATGAGGTTTTAACGATGCTGCTGCCCAGTTCTTTATCTCTTCTGATGAAATAATCTGCTTCCTGCAGCAGTCAGTCACTTTAACTCTGTTTCTGYGACAAACTACAGGCTTTCCTCCAGAAAACTGTTTTTTAATTACATCTGTTCCATCCGTAAAGAGGAGAATCAACATTTATTCAGTCAGGAAGTGGTCGGTTTTAATTCAGTTTGGATAAAAACAAGAAAAAGGAAAACAGCAAGAGGAAAGATCTGCAACACTCCGACATGACACACGTCTTTTTAAGATCTGGGTTTACGGGACATTTTTTAAAAAACTGATCCGGTTCTAAAACCACTTCAGATTCACCCTCTGCTCATCAGTCCTGTTAGAACTTCAGCTGGTGGGTACGGTTTGACCAGGACCAGCACAACCGAGTCACCAAATGTACACAAACACACACAAGAACACACACTCTAAGCAGACAGGTTGAGTCATACTGTAGTAAACTGTTTCAGTGGATATAATATAATCTGAGAGCCTGCCATCACTGTAATGAGATTACTCATCTCACACAGACACACACACACATGTTTGTTCTTTAACCCTGTGGGGACCTTCCATTGACTTCCATTCATGTTTTTTAGACTTTAAATCCTAACCCTGACCATTTACCCTAAAACTAACCTAAACCTTGGCCCTAAACCTAACCCCACACCTGTAATTTGCATTTGGGGACTGAACGTGCTTCGTGGGGACCAATGCTCGGTCCCCACGATGTAGGAAAAACAAGGCCACACACACACACGGGATGAGTCACAGTTAATGGTCTTGTGGTTTTCCAGAGAACAGGAGGTCTTGGGGTGTGAATAAGACCTGCTCTTCCTCACGGATCAATAAATATTTCAGGTTCGGTTCATGAGTCTGACGTGGATCCAGTTCCACTGTTTAAAGATCAGGTCACAATTCAGGATTTCAAACAGCAGGTCAGAAATTAAAACTGTTTAAAGTTTCCTGTCGTTTGGTGTCTGAATATGATCAAACATTAAAGGTAACAAAAAATTAATATGCTGGTGTTCAGGAAGTGAAGTACCAATAAAAATGTTAAATATTTATATTTTCAACAGTAATAAAAGTTTATTTCTAATAATTTCCGAAAACAACATGAATCAAACAGAGCTAAACTGATCAATTTGAGACAAACATTAGTAAATTTTCAGTTAAAAAAATATTTAAATGGTACTGAACTTATAGAGCGCTTTTCAAGTCCCTCCGGACTCCAAAGCGCTTTACACTAACAGACATTCACCCATTCACACTGATGATGGCAAACTACACTGAAGCCACAGCTGCCCTGGGGCACACTGACAGAGGTGGGGCTGCCATGCACCGGCGCCACCGGACCCTGACC